ATATATATATATACATGTGTGTATGTGTGTGTGCATGTGTGCGTATATGTGACACTCAAAACAACACTAAGTGGCTACTGTCTATTTCAAGCTTCAACTAAATCTTTAGGCCGTAAAGATTGAGCTGAAGCATGAAACAGACAGTCGGCGCTTAGCGTTGATCTCAGTGTCCACATTTATATTTATAGATGCTGTATTACTGATATTGTGCACTTTTATCCATAAATATAGCATACCATATTACGACTGGCAGTGATAAGAATTAATATGATTTTGTTTCCTACTGTCTGGATACGAGTCTACTTAGTGTTTATCCTAATTTATTCTCTATTAACTATTGACGCATAGCAGTGAGGAGATATTTTTTAGGATATTGGCGTAAAATGAATACGGTCTCTGCTAAAATTCAAAACTCCGATTTCGTTTGTGTACTGAATATATATATATATATATGAATATATATATATATATATATATATATATATATATATATATATATATATATATATAATTCCGTGTGTCAATACATAACTGTTGTGAAGTGCCTTCCTTTGTGTTTCGGTGTATCCGACTTCGTATCAATATTCATGTATAAAAGTGTACTGTCAATCGTATGCTAACAAATAATGACTGTTCTATATATATAGTCGTTTTTTTTTCATTTTTCTTTCATCATCATCATAGTATACATTATCATCATTGCAAGCCACTCCTTAGCCCATCATCAATTACTATTAACCTCCAACTTTCCCAAAACCCACTTTCTCACCTTCCTTTTCTTATCAGTATTTCCTTTCTTTTTCATTCCCTCTAACTTTAATTGTTCGTATTCTGAAATCTCATCTCCTTCCCTCTTCTTAGCCACACCCAATTTTTCCCACCATTTTCAATTCCATTGGCTTCTGTACTTGCTAATGGTTGTATCGGCTATAGGTTTAATTATCTAGTCTTTCGCTGCCAACAATTTGCCGAAAAAATTGGCAGAGCAAAGTCAGGGGTTAGATCTCATCCGATGAGTTTCGGGCATTATTACTGGCGGAGGGGCCGAACGCACGGAACGCTCGTGCTAGTCGAACGGCGGGTTTTATTGCCACGAATCGAAACTCTTTGATTCTTTTGTTGCTGTTAATCCTCGTTACACTCTCATACGCACAAACCTGCATGTATACATACAGAGGTAAACACGTACATACGGTGTCACTGAAAACCGTACTCAGTCCCATAAAAACCTAAACATACTTATTCAGGCACACATACTGATACACGGCTGTATATGAGGATATGCATATAAAAACCTTCAAATATATCTTTGATAATGCACAAATATATTTAACTCATCCATTACACATGTTCAATAACTTACATGTGTACACACACATATCTTCTAATTTTATCTAATTGTCTAACTCTAATTATAAAGCAGATGGATGTGGTTGTCGTGGTGTATTGGCAACGGCACAGAACGCGAAATCGAAGAACCTAGTTCGAATTCTTGCCATTTTCGTTATAGCAACATTCGGGTAAATATCATCGGGAAACATATAAGTGCATCTTTTCCTCCCCCAGTTATGGGTGAAATAGCAGGACAGACTCAGTCTATGAGTAGCAAAATTTTGAATTCAAAACTTTATGTCGTCCTGGTGAATCACTTAATATGCCGCCACTTAAGGAACCCGGAGTTCATAATAGCTCTACGATTTAGACTGCAGTCGATATTATAGAATTTTTAAGTGTCTGTTGAATTATATATCTATTTCATTCTATAATATAAAACATGATGTGATTTTAATAGAATTATTGGCACATTCATCACCCATATCTTTAAGAAAATTGGATATTCCGTTCTTATTGTAATATAGACATCGATTTAAGTTACCTTAACAATGTCAGTGATATTGCATTTTATTTATTTTTAATATTAATTTTTTAAATATTTTTACAATTAATTTTTTAAAAAGCAAAATTCTTTAATGTTGTAAAAGGACATGAAAATATTGCTAAAATATGCTAGATTTTTCCATATAGGAAAGATAATATTAATTTAATAAAATATTCACCAATTTTCTTTTTTGATAGCAAGATACTTGTAATCAACAGCGACGTCATTGTCTTTCCTGATCTTTAACCAGCTGGCAATAGTAAACATTGCAAGTTTTATAGGCGCATTTTCTTGCTGAAATATGCTCTTTATCTTAAAAGTTTTGGTTGTTGAAGGTACCAGTCAAAAATATCTCGTACAAGAACTTAAAATACTTTTCTGCATTTATCGTGATACCATACTCAACTTGGAAATGACCTATTCTTTTGCTGCTTAATATACTAATCCAAAATATTTTCCACTTTTCCCATAGTTGTATTCTAAATTATGTTGGTTATTTTCATGAATAACCAAACTCTCTCTCAGACATCAAGATTATTCAGTGGAGATCTATGATAACCATTAAACCCATTTTCATCTTCTTCACACAAACCTGCTCATTTCTTTTTATGATGCTTATTTGTAGTTCGATGTTATCACCTTTTAACCAATGTGTTGAAAAGTCTTCATGTCCTGCATTTTAATCCTCTGTTTACGTTACCAATCGCATCTTCGTCATGTATTTTCTTGTTGATCAATGCACTTTTCTTGCTGGTAAATCAACTGTTCCTGCTTAGCAGCCTTTTGATTTTTCTCCAATTTCTTTTGATTATATTCTTTAAGCCATTGCTTTCTTTAATCTCATTTTGCCAATGATTTCAATTTCTTTTTGGAATGATCACGTTTCAAATCCTTCGAAGTTTCAAAATTTCTGTTCCATTACAATATCTTTCTTACAACACATTGCCGTATTTGTGTTCCTGAAAGTAAAAAAAAAAGAATATATATTAATAAATATATTATTGTTTATATTATTTGGTTATAATTAAATCTCAAGCACTAGCACAGTAAAGTTTCACATTACCAAATAAATTATTCCAAATAAAAAAAGCTAAAATTCACAGTGCAAATTTCTCTTATAAATATTAGTATATACCGAAAATTTCACAAATATCGGTTAATATTAAATTCATTGTGAATCATTAACTTGCATAATAAAATATGACAGTGTGGTTTTCCACGCCTTCTTTTACGTACTTCCATTCTATACAGCGACCCTATCAGTTTTCCCCAATTTCATCATTCGGGTGAGTTTAATACGTAAACCACGCTCGATATTCAAATTGCTCGGACGTTTGGGTAGCGCTTTCTATATATTCCCATCCCGAAACTTTTTTATTTCATTTTTATCAAAGTATTATAGTTGCATGACATCCCATTCAGTATATGCAAGTAAAGTGAAATGCACAACGTTCTTAAGTCTGTTGATATGGCGTTCACTTTGCTAAGCCAGGAACAACGAATTGATTAGATGCGTGTTAATCTTGTCGTAGTTATCACAGTGACACCTAAATTGCCAATATTCCCTTAGTGCTATAGCTGAATATGAAATAGGGTAGGAGATGTCAACTCCTCCCTGATTAGACTTTGTGATCTCTCTTCTTCTAGTAGGTCCTAGTCTTCCCAAACGAGTGAGTTCGTCTCAGTGTTTGGCCTCAATGTTCTGGCATGTTTCCGACTAAAAGACTTCATACTCCTCTCTGAAGTGGGCTTCAACCAATATAGTCCAGTTCATGAATTTACAATCCCAAAATACTCACACTACTCATAAAAGAAGACAATCAGAATCCCCATGGATATGTTCTTAGTGCCTATATCAAGAATGAATTCCATTGAGGCAGAGACTCCGAAAACGAGGATTCTGAATTCGCATGAGTGTGCCCCGCGTTGCTTTCGTTCATGGTTTGTTTTATTCGCTATAGATCGTCCACAGAAGATTGAAGATAATCACAACACATCTAACATTCGGAAAGCTTTCAGGCAGCACAGAGTTATTTCCAATCTTGGAAAACTTGTTTAAACACTGTCTGTGGCAGGTTTGTATAAGGTACCAGCTGTAGCTCTTAGTTTACAAGAATGTGGTAAGTGCTAATCACCGTCGCAATATCGCCCAGTCAGACTCCTCAGTGTCAAAAGCAAACATTTTGAGGCTATCATCAACAAGATTGCCAATCACCTCAACAGTAACATTCCCATGAGCGACACACAATAAAGGTTTCGTCCCTCTAGCTTCACTGCTGATGTTTTAAGAATCATTAAGCATAGGATCTGTGAAGCAATTGATAATAGATCTATTGCGATAGAGATCACCTTATTTATCTCGAAGCTTTTTGACAAGGTGTAGCATAAGTAGTTGTTGCTACTCAGCTACGATATTTCTGGCATAATCTTCTTGATTTTCAAGTCCTTTCTCTCGTATAAGTCCATGAAATTTTTGTCATTATTCTGACGACCTCGAAATCACTGCAAGCTCTCACTGGTTATATACTTGTTCTTACCATTTTACTGCTATGTAATAACAGTCTACTTCAGAATATTCTCTTAGTGATCGGAGATGTTATATATGCAGACAATACGATGGTTTATGGGAGTACCACCAAAAATTGTAGATGACCAGAACCTGGCAGCGGAGTTCACCTCTCACCTACATCGCACATCTCAATGGAAGAGGAAAGGGCTTGTAACATTCAATACTTCCAAAACCAAGTTAAAAACGTTTCATCATCCCAGAGGAAATCTTGATTTTCTCCAATCATATTAAACGGTTGAAAGGAGGCCCTTTATCTGTAATTTCTATCAAACTAAAGGTTACCCCAGGCCTCAAGTGGAAAGGACGTTACGCAGTATAGTCAAAACATAACAATGATGTTACATTATTGTCCCAAACAGCTGGGAAAATTTTATCAAAATAATTTGACAAAAAACCGAGAAATCCTAAATTTCACTACCAAGCTATTAGCGTGGTTCGAGGTTTAATTAAGTTTCTTTCTTTTCAGTAGAGGATATACCACAAAATGTCCAATTCTTTTATGAGTACGACATCCTGCCTTTAAATTCATAAACCTTCATATTCACCTTCTAG